CCCCCCAAGTGGTTCCAACTTGTGTTTACAGATGTATTAGTAATGGTAAATAACAGTTTGGCTTTGATACCCAATAAAATAAGGAGTTTGTCATTCAACACAATACATCATTTCGTTTTGATCTCTGGATGGATTTTTTTTAAACTAGCTTTTGTTTCCAACAATGTCTATTGCTCACGCTCATATCTCTTTGCATGATGCTTCTACAAAAGTGTTATCAATTCTAAGTCCAACTCTAATTCTGCATCTAAAAACACTCAAATTGCTCATTTTATTTTCCTTCTACAGCATAAAATGTCTCCACACAGAAATGGCTGCTTTCAGCCACAGCCCCGACTACCCAACATAAATCTGACCCTTGAGGACAAATGCTCAGTAGTAAAAATAAAAAGCACAATTCATTATATCCCAGATGGTGTCCCCCCCCCCCCCCCGCAGCAGAGTGGCTTCCTCCAGTGTAAATCTTACCAGTATGTCCCTGCTCCCTGTGACGTCAGCTCCATCCCATCCACTGAGTTGTAGCTGTCGTCGTCCATGATCTTCGACAGGCCGAAGTCTGTGATCTTGATCTCCCCGCAGGCAGTGCCGTTCACCAGGAGGATGTTACCTGAGCAGGGCGAGGAAAGGATTTACCAGCATGAGAGAAAATGTCTGCGTAATTCAAATGTACATTCACATTTTGAGGCGAAAATGACTCAATTTCATCACTAATGTAACTGCAGTGGTTAAAGTGGTTCATTTAACTGACAGTTTTACTGCTCGTAGAGTTTAAGAGCCTGGTGTGGAGACTCACCAGGCTTAAGGTCATAGTGGATAATGGGCGGTCTGATCTCATTGAGGTACTTCAAGGCGTTGACAATCTGCATGATGATGGAGCGGCCCTCTTTCTCTGACATAAGCTTGTGCTGCTTCAGGTAGAAGTCCAAGTCATTGCCCTCGCAGTACTCCAGGACGGTGCAGAACCTGTTCCAAAATAAGGCAAAAGTATTTATCCATCTCTGCAGGATTTGGTACAACAGATGAAAACAAAGGTAATGCTCTAGTCTGCATATTGACAAATAGCTCAGAATGAACACAATCTGCATAAACATGAGTATGTATTTTGAAAGGCAGACAATCGTTTAAAAAGGAAATGACTTACGAGTCGGTGTCGAGCGAAAAGTAGTCGTAGAGTTTAACTATTCGTGGGTGGTCCAGTTCTTTATGGATTCTATATTCTCTGCATGCATGTCTGAAACAAAGAGTATTTCCAACATTAATTTGAAATGTGGCTCTGACGGGTTAATAAATGATGAAAAGAACATATTTCATTGTATATATAATATAGTATCGCCAATGAAAATTGCACAACACTCACTTGTGATAATTTTCTTTCTTCTCATCCCTCCAGTTCTTGTTTAACTGGTGGATTTTGACCGCAACATACCTTTGCTCTGTTAAGTCAAAGGCCTGGAGAAAAGAAAGTCTCATATTAGTTCCGTACTTCATTTAGCATTACTTTTAGCTGCAGTGAGCCTCTTGCTTGACATTAAACGTCCATTCATCATTTTTACAGCTATGACAGCAGATTCTAGGAACAACGCTCACATTCTGGCAGTCATTTACTTCGAAATGTTTATGATGTCAAATTAGTGTAATGTAAAGAAACACGCATCCTCAGATATTTTCCCAAAGTATGTGCAGCACAGCCAGCTTTCACCAGTGTAACGCCGCAATCTCTGACCTCAAAAATGACCACAGATTTGAACAGAAATCTCAAACTCTCTTTTAAGAAACAGAAAACTGGTATTCATTGCAGGATGTTTTGGCAAAGGTCTTCACTACACTTATTCAAAAACAGAAACTGGAAGGTATTTTATGTGTATTAACCATTGTAAAAAAGAAGTGGTTCTGGAAAGATGAAGTTTCTCTCACCTTGTAAACTTCACTGAAACCTCCCCGTCCAAGTAAATAGAGGAGCAGGTACCGGTCATTTAGCGTCGGGTGATCTTTGAATCTGCACAGGGTGAATTCATGGAATTAAAGAAGGCACAGGGACACATCACCTGACAAACTAGGAAAGGACAATATAATGCTGCGTTCACACCAAACGCAAAGCGAATTTCCGCATTGCGTCATAACCGTTATCAACTAAGCAATTTATTTCTGCCATCAACCATGGAAGAAATAACCACTACTTCTGCACCGCGTTTGGTGCGAGCACAGCATAAGAAGAAATCGTACTGAGAATTATCTTCATTGTGGATCCTTTTCAACTCGCGAATATGGAGGTTTCGCACTCGCTCCAACCTCTCGAGCTCCGCCTGGATCTCTGCTTCCTCCTGCAAAGGACAACACAGTATTAAAATCTGCGCAGTTAACAAAACAGCTAAACGAAGGAGACACCAAAAAAGCATGGTCAC